CCAAGTGCTTGCTCAAGGGGGATTTGTTGGGTTTTCCCTCTGTAATAATATTGATAACAGTAAGGTCTAGACCTTACTTTGTAAAGTGTCCTGAGATGACTTTTGTTGTGATTTGGCGCTATACAAATAAAATTTGATTTGATTTGATTTGATTTGAAATCCACCTTGAGCAAGCACTTGGCGACAGTGGGGAGGAAAAACTCCCTTTAACGGAAGGGAGGGAGTGTTGCACTGACGTGCATACAGTCATACAGGTGTACCTAATAAAGTGGCCAGCCAGCGTATTGAGTAATCAGTGTTGAAAAGTAAGATGTTGAAACAAGGTCGCCTCAATGCTGATTCCACTTTCAAAATGTTGACGCCCCAAAGACGTTGAAATAACATCAGGATGACAACGTTGATTCAGTTTTCAAAATCTAAACAAAATTCAACAGTGATTCAACCTCGGCCCATGAGGCTGATTTAACCGTGAGTAAATGCTGACGTGATGGCTGGCCACAGTGGATTCAACAGGTGTTCAACCCTGTCATGTTCTCCACATCGTTACGTTTCACACTCATCTTACATTGGAAAATTAGAGAAATGCATTTCCTGTCGAAAATGCATGTGGATGCTGAGATGCTGAATGATCGCCCTGAAAATGCTGAGGTGCCAAATATCAATTGCTGAAATAGCTGAAGAATGAGAAAGAAAATCCATTTTGTTCTCATCAGTCTACTCACAATGACAGTGAAAACAGGTTTTTGGAGTGTTTTAGTAATTTATTAAGAATTAAAGCCTGAAATGTTCCATTTACATCAGTATTCAGACTCTTTGTTATGACACTCGTGGCTGAGCTTTATTACTACAGCGTGATCAGAGTCCATCTGATGTTTCAGGGAACTGTGGATTTCCTCTATGAACAAAATGACCACAGAACATTTCAAAACGCATATTCAGTAGCTTGCTATAATTTTTTTTCAGAAAACAGATTTTTTAAAGCAACTTTTCAAACAACACCAGCATCAAGATATTTGTACCAATTTTTGTCCGAAGGCTTATCTGGACCAGGCTGCTCTGCTAAACACAGAGGCAAAGGTAGTTTTAGGAAGGAAGAAGCAAATAGACAAAGTAGAAGAAAGAAAAAAACAGGAGGAACTGGTGCCCTATAAGACAAGTACACAGACAATATTAATTCTTCATAAATTCAAATTGCATACAGTTTGGACTCATGCAGACGCTTAACAAGTCAATATTTGATTTGGTGTCATGCATGGAATGTGCAGTTTATAAAACATCTAACATAGGTGATATGTAATATGTGTAATGTTTTCTTCTCATTTTGTGTTAGTGTGACTAACAAAAGACTGAGTGCTTCTCTGGTAGGACAAGCCTCTCCCTCCTACAGTGAACACAGAGACACGAAGGAACCAGGTGTCCCACATCTAAACCCAGGATACAGAGGCTCAGTGAATGTGGTGTGGTATGTGTGGAGGTGGATCAGTGTGTCAGAGGAGACTCTGTAGAAGGACACGGTGCCAGCAGGACAGTCCACATACACTGCTGCTCTCTGAGAACTCGAAAAGGAGGGATAGAATTCTATTTTTCTGTTACTGTGACAGACGCTGTAACGGCCGCTGTCAGAACAGCTCAGACTCCAGGACTGATCATTAAATCCAAACAAACAGTCCACAGAGTTTCCTTTCCTTCTGATTCCTCTGTAAGTCACTGATATAGTAACCGGTCCACTCCAGTCGACCTCCCAGTAACAGCGGCCAGTCAGACCAGTTGCACACAGCAGCTGAGAAGAGAAGTCAAACCTCTCTGGATGATCGGGATATGGCTGCTCCTCCTTCACTCGTGTCACCTTCCTGTTGTTGTCAGACAGTTGTAGGCTTGGGTTCATCGTATTTGTGTCCAGTTCCAGTTCAAAGGCCCCTGATGGAGAGAAAAGACACAGCAGCAGTTTATCATCGACACACCTGATGGCTTTATTTGGCGCTTTGACGCTTTATCAACAGACCGATATGACTGGGCCTATGTTTTTGCCAGCGTCCGGTGTTTTGTTTGTAACTAGAAAAAGAAATTACGTTGGGAGAGCTGAGATGCTGCCTAAAACGACGCTGATTGCTGACAAGTTCATGAGTGTTGAGATGCTAGTGCGGTTAAAGAAATAAAAGTGAAGCCAAGTGAAATAAAAGTTGACTGAAAGAAAGTTACAACAGAAAAAGAAGGCAAAAGAGAAAATCAGGAGAAACAATTGTAAGATTTGATTCTTACGGGCGCTAGTTACTTTGTAAGTGTAAGATTTGATTCTTATAGGCTCTAGATACTTTGTAAGCTTTAGTTACTTTTCACCCCTTTAGTTACTTTTCATAACTCTAGTTTCCTTTAGTTACTTTTCAGTTCTTCATTTTCTTTTAGTTACTCTTCATACTTTTTATTTTCCTTGCTTACACATATTAAAACTGGATTGATGACTGCAGTATTGTGCTGAGGGTAAACTTCTGTAGAAATGCTGTAACCTTTGTAGAGAACATGTGCAAGAGGGCGGGGCCCCCCCCGCCTGGCTGGTTTAGCATACTTATTAGCATCGCACACACAGGGGGGCCTGCAACCCAGACCACCCATTGTTCAGTGTGTCACACACACACACCTAGATTTTACCACATTCCAACAAGGAGGTGTGAGCTCCGGCTTACACCAAAGGGCCAATAGGATTATGAAGTGTTGAATGTTGTACCTCTGTCCAGGGCAGAGCAGCCCAAGAAGATAAAATGTATTGTAAAACATAATTCAGGATTCAGAAGCCGGCTTTCCTGCGGGAGCTCTGTCTCTCTTAATCCAGCGCTGTAAGGCCTACCTGTGATCAGACTTCCAGTAAACTTTCTGCTGATTTTAAACAGTCCTCTCCCGTCTTCACTTCTTGCACTTCCAACAAAAGAATTGGGTTATTTTCTAACACACTGAAGAAGAGAAAATAGTAAAGTTTATTATTTAGTGATGGGGGTAATTGTAAACTACTACCCCAGCGTACTATCCAAAGCACATGAGCATACAGTAGGTGAGGGTTGGAACACAGACTGACTGGTCATTTGAAAGCGTTGTATTCCCACTCATCTCCTTCTTCCCACAACGGTCTTGTACAGTGCCCACAATACTGCCGACACTGCACTGATTGGTTTGTCAGTCTCAGGCTCCACTGTGCCCTCACTTATGACCATGACACAAAGATACATGAACCCCTTTGCAAGGGGCAGCGACTCATTCCCAAGCAGAAAGGAGCAGTCCATCATTTCCCAGCAGAGAACCACGGCCTCAGACTTGGAGGTGCTGATTGTCATTCCAACCACTTCACACTCCGCTGCAAACCATCTCATGAAGCCAATAAAACACATTGTCTGTAAAAAGCAGAGACTCTATGCTGAGGTCAGCAGACTAGACACACTCCTTCCTTCTGCTGTGCCTTTCCTGTTTACGAAAATCAAAACAATAGACAAGGGGGAATCCTGGCAGAGCCAGGCTGCTCACTCCCAACCTCACTCCAGAATGCAGATGATAACTTCGTCCCATGGTCGGAGTTAAAGACCTCACAGATGGAGGCTTCAGCCAGACATTCCCAGCTCACCCTCACTTTATATTTAGGTTTACCAGGTGTGTCCAGCAGTTTCCCCTGACATCTAATCCAACTCTCCACCAGGTGGTGCTGACAGCTCTGCTCCTCTCTTCACCTGAGTGACCAGAACATATGGTCACAGATGTGATGTTACAACCACACATTCAATCACTGATGTGAGGTCTAAGGTATTCTGGTAGCAAGTACACTTTTAAATCACTCTATGTTTGAACATGGTATTCACTGTGCCTAATCCATGGCTAGCCCACAAGTCCAATAACAAGGCACCACTCAAGTTCTGATCAGACAGGCCATTCCTTCCAGTCACCCCCTTCACGTTTCTCCATTGCTACCAACACTGAAGTCACCCAGCAGAATTATGGAGTCCCCAGGTGGTGCCTTGCCCAGAATTCAAAATCCCCACACTCATTCAGCACCTCTCTCCCTGGGCAGCTCCAGAAAAGAACAGAGTTCAGCCAGTTTGGTTCCAGATCTGACACTGGGGCTGGAGGTTAGCCAGCCTACATCTAGTTGGTACCTACTGTACACCCCACAAGGAGTAGGGCCCGCACTTTAAAATCTCAGTCTAGAATTTGAGCAATGATACATTTTGTTGGTTTGGCTCTTACACTTTCTCAGACCTGGTTTCAGCCTCTTCTCTCCACCATGTTCCACCCTGGAGGAAGAAAAAAGTCTGAGTCATCACAAGCTTCCTCATCAACCTTCAGTAAGATCAACCATTAAGACACATTTCATACACATTCACTGCCTTTCTGTGTTCTATTCCTTGTTATGTAGTTGTTTGAATGAACTTCATTGGATCTGTGAGTGAACAAAAGTAAGAACATAAACTAATGGGTTTTGTTCTTCTGGATGAGCTCCTTGTCATGGCTGGCTGATTGGTCAGTACAGTGTGAACATAAAAGCTGTAGATTTTGACCACAAGTCTAGTGTGAGTTAACACAACCCTCCATACATCCATTATTATCCTGAATAGGGTCACGGAGGCTGGAGCCAATCCAAGCTGACACTGGGTGAGAGGCGAGGTCCACCCTGGACAGGTCGCCAGTCTGTCACAGGGCTGACACTTAGAGACAGACATCCACACTCATTCACACATTCATCCAAACTCACTCCTGCAGGCAAATTAGAATCACCAGTCAACCTAAGCTGCAGGTCTTTGGAGTACGGAGTACCCGGAGAGAACCTACGCAGGCACGGGGAGAACATGCAAACTCCAGACAGGAAGGCCTCAGGTCGGCCGTGGCTCGAACCCAGAACCTTCTTGCTGTGAGGCAACAGTGCCATCCCTAACACAACCCAATTTATAAAATTAATAATGTGAACAATGTCTGCCCAGCTTTATGCTAGGTACACATTGAAGAAACATTTTAAATTTTAATTTTAACAAAATTCGCAACCACAAACATAGCAACAAATTGAACCAATTTTTAATATTGTAATCAATAAAACACACACACTAGGTGATTCAGTCAAAATTCAGGACCCCACGCTTGGCAGTTTTACCAGACAACTTTATAGTAGAGATTCCAGACAGAAACTCACTTGATCAGTCGTGACTTCAGAGCAAAACAGACATCACTGGTTTCCACCAATGGCCACGACCCACCCCACCCCCAGTTTTCGGGAATAGCTAATAAAACCCAAAATCTGCCTGACTGTCCTCTAGTGTGGGGCCAGCATTAGTCATATGGATACATTTCCATACAATATGTATCTCTGGTAAGTGTAGTGGCATATGTGACTGATGTGCGTAGAAAAAAAAAATCCAACATCTATTATCAGCAGAGCTGCTGGTACAGACTGAGAGCCATGAGTCCTCCGCTTGTCAGTGTGACAGTGAAACAGTGAGCACTTGCTGTCTGTCTGTACCTGAGACAGTCCAGTCTCCAGTGTGGATCCTGCAGTCCAGCCGAGAGCAGATCCACTCCTGAGTCTCCTGGATGGTTGTAGCTCAGGTCCAGCTCTCTCAGGTGGGAGGGGTTGGATCTCAGAGCTGAGGCCAGAGCAGCACAGCCTTCCTCTGTGACCATACAGCCTGACAGACTGAACACGCACACATCTGTTTTTCTGTAGCAGTAAGCATTTAAATGTTCAGCAAGACTAAATACTCATCCTTTGCCAAAACGCTGACCTGAGAGTTTCCAGTCTACAGTGCGGACTCTCCAGTCCAGCAGACAACAGCTTCACTCCTGAGTCCTGCAGGTCATTGTTACTCAGGTCCAGTTGTCTCAGACTGGACGACTTGGAGTCGAGAACTGAGGCCAGAGCTTCACAGCTTCTCTCTGACAGGTAACAGCCGCTCAGCCTGAAGGAACGATAGAGACAAACACAAACACTGACAATTCCTCTCATGTACAAAGCAAAACAATTCGACCTTTTGAGTTGTCTTCTTTCAGTCAACAAGTTACTAACTGCTCACTAGGATGTTGGACAACTCATAAGATTTTAGCTGAGCAGTGGTTTGATGGTGTTTTTTGTGAGGGACAACAACACTGAGTAAGACTAGCTGTTGCATTAAACACTATGAGGACAATGACTTCCACAAATCTATTTTGGTCAGCACTGAGAACCAATGTGTCAGAAATCATTTTGCAGGTCTGCATGTATCTGTGGAAATACATGCAGATGAATGCACGCTAGAGAAACACTGTAATACATAGATGTCTTAGTCACAACATCAGCTGACTGAGATTCTCTTCCACTGAAAACAACCTGACACATGCTAGTTAGTATCTGCAGTGATCTGTGCACGTACAGAGCTCTGCTGGAGGCTTTGACCACAGGCAGCAGCCTCAGAAGAGCCTCCTCTGAAGCCGAGG